AAAATAATGCAATTGAGAGGGAGCCTTTAAAGGGCCATTTTACACCGTCACTTTGCTCCTTTTGAGCTTATCATCAGAAACTATGCTCTAAAGAGAGAAGGGAGCCGAAATTAGTGAGAAAAGGAGCTCAAGGAAGAGTTTTGGCTAGGGAACTTGATAGCTTTGAAGCTATACTCAAGAATTTGTTGTTGATTGGAAAAATTGAGCCTCTAGGTAAGCATTTGATCTTGAATTCATAAGTTTGAATTTGTGATTTTGTAAGTTCAAGGTTTGTTCGTGATCAAGGGCATAATTTGAATTGAATTTATTGAATTGGGAGTTTATATGAGCATGCATGTGCATGATTGCTATAGTGTTGCATATTCATGCAAGAGCCATGTTGAACAAGAGGAATTGGGCATCAAATCTCACATGCATGCATGGTTTTTATAAGTTCCATGATCATAAGCCTTATTTGTACCATTTGAACTCGAATTGGAAGCCAAAACTTACATGCATGTTTGATTATTGAAGATATGAAGCTCATATGGGGTTTGAAAGCATAAGCCATGATTATACAAGAATGTTCATTGATTTTGGAGAATTGAACCACGATTTTGAGTGATTAGCTTCATATTGTTTGTGTACCCTTGAAATATAATGTGTTTATATGTTTTTGGGACTGAAATCATGAGTTGAGACCTTTGAACATCAAAATAGAACTCCAAGAACAATTCTGGAATTTCCAGAAAGTTTGATGTGCCGCTCGAGCAGGGAACCACCGTTGAGTGTGAAATCTCGCTCCAGCATAGTTTCTGCAACATGGTTCCCGTATCGAGCAGAGGAGTTGACGCTCGAGCGGGGACTATGTAGACAGACTTTCCGCTCGAGCGCCGAGTTCACTGCTCGAGCATGAATTTTATGACCAGTGCTTTTGCAATCTATTGGGCTCGCTCGAGCTGGAAGTCCAGCTCGAGCGGGGACCCTATTCTGAAAATTTTGTTGTGATCGTTCTGTGTTGTTCGTTTTCCTTCTCTTTCACTTGCAAGCACTCTTTAGGCGTGCAAATTAACATTGTAATTGATGTAAAGAGATAAGAATGAAGCCTAAAGAGAATAATGTGAATTAAAAACAGATATGAATCGTTTGTGACCCATATGTGTCGCCACCAACAGAACACTAGAGAACACTCAATACCGACATATATATCAGTGTAGGTCAAGCTTCCACGGCAAATCACAAAGGAGATCACTGTGAGTGTATAGATATTTGAAGTTTTGTCAATTGGTCCAATTGTTTATTTCTTTACAAGTTTGCTAGTTTGAATTAGTGGACACCATCTGACTGAATAATTGGGCAAAGGCCGTTTTGACCATGAATGATGGGCCGAGGCCATTTTTTTTTTTTTTTTGGGTGAATAAAGAACATAAAATAAAAAATAGAATTACACAGACACAAGGGCAATGCCCCAGGACCTAACCAACACTTACAAAAACGAACCAAGAAAACCAACGAAAAAAGAAAACATGGACGAAAAAAAAAAAAAAAAAAGAAAAAAAAAAAACACTAAATTTAACAACTAAAGAGGAAACCAAACATATCAAAGCAAAAGAGAATATTAACCCAAACATGTTCATGAGCCGCTACTTTCGGCATGAAGGTCGAATGAAACATTAACATGTCAATAACTCCACACATTATACCAGACATACAGTCCACAAACCCAGCAGCAAAAGTGAAAACTGAAACCATCGCACATCTTTGCATGGTGGGCCAAAAGAAAAATTATAGCAAAACCATATTAACACGTATCCAACACACATAGTTTTAAAGTAAACAAAGAAAGACAATTGTTCCACACAGGCGCTTCTGCAAGCCATCACGGACCAGCCAACCTCTAAAACCTGAAATGGCAGGACTTTAAGCCATCAGAATAGCCACCCCCAAACGTGACACCACTGCCTTCCCATGCGAGCCCAAGACGATGCTCATACATTATGGTAAAACCCTGTAGGAACGAGTAATAGTGAGTACCATCAGATGTAAGAACAATCTACAGTAGAATATAACACATAAGCAGCAGTGCCCTCAACATCAGATCTCACTCACTCGACCACAATTTAGAGACTCAGACCACTCAACTTTGTGCTTCCTATAGTCATGCATATAAAAAATGATACAGATTATTTACTAACATTAGCAATAATATAAGCGAAATCCACTCAACCAACATATGAAAGTGAAAATTTTTATTTCCTCTTCACTCAACCCTTATTAACTAGTATTCCACAATGAACTCTGAAAATAACCTGCACATACCAAACATTAACTAAACACTCAATAATGCTCACCAACACCACCCACATATAATGAACTCGCATCACTCAGCAGCCCTCCCATAGCTGCGAATATGGGGCTTCATAACTGTTGCTGGCAGATTCCATTGGTCAAGAAACCAGCTATCACTTGCGGATCTAGGCAAATTCTTAATAGATAACATTCTATTTCTCACCATTTGGATTATAGATTTAATAACCACCTCCTCAGGCTTCAATTCTTTGTTAAAAACACGGTTATTTCTCTCAATCCAGATATGGTAAATAGAACACAAGAAAGCATTACTAAGAATATTGGCCCTCAAAGAATTACCCTTGGCCTCATTCATAGCATGTGTAACAATATTAGGCCAGCCTAAATCAGGCCACTTTATGTTGCATTTGACTTCAATAGCACTCCAGACTCTATGGGAAAAGGTGCACTTGAAGAAAAGATGGGAGTGGCTTTCCCCAGGGGTAAGGCAGAAAGGGCATTGGGAATGAGGGGCTAAACCAAACATAAGTAACCTATCACCAGTATATAATCTGTTATGAAGAGTAACCCAGACTATAAAACTGACTTTAGGTATCCTATGAGGGCCCCATAGAAGTTTATGCCAATCCACTTTGCCAAAGCTATTTCTCCAGTGATTCCAAGCTGATTTAATGGAAAACTGACCATCAGTAGTAAGTTTCCAGACAACACGGTCACTCATTAAAGGGTTGGGCTTACAGCAGTCAGGAGTAGATGAGATCAACTCCTGAATCTCCCAAGAATTAGGAATAGGCCACTTCCAAGAATGACCCTCAATGATTTGATTAACTTTGGTCTCACTGTTGAGACAGGAATCATACATAATTCTATCCCCAAACTTGCTCCATAGAGGCCCAAGCGGGTGCCAATTGTCATACCAAAGAAAGATAGACTCCCCACAACCAACTTTGTGAGTGAGAAGGGGAGACATCCAATTCCTAAGAGACAGTAATTTCCTCCAAACCCAGGAAGGGTCAGTAGGAATTCTAACTTTCCAAAAACTATTACCCTTGAGTAAATAGGACTTAACCCACTGACACCACATAGAAACCTCACCCCCCGAGAAGAGATACCAAATATGCTTAGCTATTGCAGCTTTATTCCAGATATCAAGGGACTTAAAACCAAGACCCCCTTCATTTTTAGGAGCGCACACAGAATCCCAAGCAATCTTGGCACTATGAGTTTTGGGATCACTGCTAGACCAAAGAAAGGCCCTAAGAATACTCTCAATCTCCTTAATAACCTTCTTAGGAAGGATAAACAGGGAGGACCAATAAACTTGCATGGAAAAAAGAATGGATTGGATAAGCTGGCTTCTCCCAGCATAAGACAAAGCTCTATTAGTCTAACTCTTCACTCTTTTGGTAATCCTATCAATGAGAGGGACACAATCGGTGGCCCTCAACTTGGTAGTAATAAGGGGAACACCAAGATATTTAACCGGAATAGTGCCCTCTTTGAATTTAGCAATACCTAGAATAGAAGCACGTAACCCCATCTCACAACCAGAAAAGTAGATGTTACTCTTACTGGGATTAGGGGTAAGGCGAGAAAGGTTAGACAATTCCTCAAGGCCATCCATAATAAGCTTAACAGTGGGCACATCACCTCTGCTAAAGATCATAAGATCATCAGCAAAACAGAGATTGATAATTTTAGTCTTCTCACATCTCCAATGGAACTTAAACAACGGATGCGTAGACTTCTCAGCCAAGATTTTGGCAAGAATCTCCATGGCTAAAACAAATAAATAAGGGGACATAGGATCACCTTGTCGTAAGCCTCTAGCCCCCTTGAAGTAACCATGGAGGCTCCCATTGATACAAATTGAAAAAGAAGGGCTAGTGATACAAGCCTGGATCCAAGAAACCATAATAGGGGGAAAGGCCATAGCCTTAAGGATGTTAATAATGAATTCCCATCTCACACTGTCATAGGCTTTCATGATATCCACTTTCATGGCACACTTCGGGGTAGGGGACTTCCTATGGTACCCTCTCATAAGCTCTTGAGATAGGAAAATATTGTCAGATATTCTCTGAACTTGAACAAAAGCTGACTGAACGGGATCAATAAGATCAGGGAGAACAGTTTTAATCCTGTTAGCAATGATCTTGGCAATGCATTTGTAAATAGTATTACAGCAAGAGATGGGTCTAAAGTCACCCACTTTAACAGGGTTAGGGACCTTAGGGATAAGAGCAATAATGGTACTATTGACTTCGGGGAGAAGCTTACCAGACTCGAAAAAAGGTTCTTATAGCTTGAATGACCTCTCTCCCCACAATATCCCAAGAGCTTTTGAAAAAGCCAACTGAGAAGCCATTAGGGCCAGGGGCCTTATTGGCTTTAAGAGACCAAAAAGTATCCTTAATCTCTTTGTCAGTCACAAGGCTAGCCAGCAAAACCAATTTGTCAACAGAAATGTTGAACTTAACCAGAGACTGGATTCTATCATAACCATTATAATGGTCATCAATAGGAGTGCCAAATAAACCAGAGAAAAAATCTGTAAATGCATTATGGATGTCCTCGGGTTTTGAAGATTTTTGGCCATCCATCATCTCCGGGCTCAAGATTTTACCCCTATTAATGTTACCCTTAATGGTTTTGAAAAAAAAAAAACTGCTATTTCTATCTCCCTAACTCTGCCACTGAACTCTAGATTTCTAGTGAGCCAGACTCTCCTCAACAGCCAAAAGATCCACATGTTGTTTAAAGATGGTTCTCTCAAGTTTTTGCAAAGAAGCATTACTAGGATCCTTGTCCAACTTCCATTGAGCGGAGAGGAGTTCAGACCTAGAAGCATGGACTCTGGTAGTAACGTCACTACAGTCTTTCTTGTTCAAAGCCTTTAGTGCAGGCTTCAGATTTTTTAAATTCTGACACACTCTAAACATACGGACACCCTGAATGTACTGGTTCCAAGTTGTAGAAACCACAAAACCAAAGTCCTCATGATCAGCCCAGAAATCAAAATATTTAAAGGGTTTCTTAAATGAAGTCACCTTATCAGAGACATTTATCACTGCAGGAGAGTGATCAGATATGCCAGAAGGTAGGAAGGTAGCAAATGAGGTCAGGAAAGGATCCAGCCAAGCCTCATTAACCAAAACTCTATCGATCTTGGAAGCAATATAATCCCCACTAGTTCTTTTGTTAGCCCAAGTGAATGGGCAACCTCCATAAGAGAGACCAACCAGCTCAGCTTGCAAAATATAGGAGTTGAATTCCTCTTTATCCTTAGACCAACTAGCAGAGCCCCTAAATTTCTCATAAGGGAATCTGATAGCATTAAAGTCCCCCAGGATAACAAGAGGGGTTTTGGACTGAGCTTGGGAAATAGTAACCATGTACTCAAAAAATTCTTTTCTAACATCATGTTTATTCTCAGCGTAAACAAAACAGACTCTGAACATATAATCCGAAGATAAATCATGCACTTCACAAAAAATATACTGGTCAGAGGCATGTAACATTTTAACATTGCAAAAAGTTGAGTCCCAGCAGACATAAATCCACCCAGTTTTAGAAGGTTGTGAGTTTGTCAAAAAGGGCCAATTGTTAACACCAGATGAAAAAAATCTGATGTTCATTCAAAGCTTTTATTTTAGTTTCCAAAATACCCAATATTTTAATATCTTCATGTAGCAAAAATTTTCTAACTTCTCTATGTCTATGAGGATTATTAAATCCTCTAACATTCCAAGATGCAATTTTTAGAGACATTAGAAACAGCAAAAATTTAGAAACCCACAAACCAGCTAAGACTGGGATTACCTGTGCTTCTTCCTTTGGCTTTTGTTGCCTTTGCCAGAGGAGTTACCTTTTACATTAGAGCCAGTTTGGGCTTGTTTGTCAGTTTGAGTACTGCTTGGGGTCGATCCCACTAGTTTCTCCACTCTAGCCAGCAGATCTGTATCATGTGGAAGGGCCAAGCTTGTAATTTCAACTAATTCCTTCTGTAAAGCCTCCAGTCCATCCATCTTACTTTCCTTTAACTCTCCACCCCTTGTGCTCAACTCATCACTGTGAGTTTGGTCAGAAATCTTCTCCCTAGGCTCCACCTGAACTAGCACTTCTTGTTGACTTTGCCCCTCCTCAAGCTTATGCAAACCATCCTCCTGAGGCTCCTCTTGGTTTACTGACTCTGTAGGAGGATCTGGAACACCCACCTTCCTCTTACCCTTAGCCATGACAGTTTCCCAACCAGGATCCAAATTATTTTCAGTTTCTTTTTGGAGGTTGATTAAAGCAGCAACTTGGGTTTTCACACATCTGGATGTATCATGCCCAAAAGCAATGCAGTGCTCACATTTGGGGGGTAAGCCTTGATATTCAACCTTGATGACAGCATCTACACCTTCACAGTTCACTTTGAACATCGCTGGTAAGTTGGATGTTGCTTCTATCTCGACACAAACCCTAGCGAAGGACACCTTACTACCCTGTTCTGTGAGTTGGTCCATAAATAAAGGAACACCTACAGCACTTGCGATATGGCTTAAACTATCACTGTCCCAATACTCGAAAGGGACATTGAAGAATTTAGCCCGCACAGGAACCTTGGTAGCTTTATCCTTTGTCAGTCTCATCATACGGGTCCATTTCTTCAGGAATAGGTTAAAACCACCAATATACTAGGGCCCTCCCTCAAGAACTGAGTTACAACATTCTAGGTTATCAAAGATAAAAAAAACTGAACCCTTCCCTATTGGCTAACACTTCTTTCAACCCTTTACTTTTCCATAGACCAAAGGCACTGTTTCTCAAATAATTATAGGATACCCCTTCATCAAGAAAATATCCAACCAAGCAAGAGTCCCATTTTTCTAAAGGGTTAGGCCGTGGGGGTAAGTTCACACTAACATAGCCCTCACTATGAACAGGAGGAACATACCTCAAAGGGATACTAGATCGAGTAGATGAAGCAACCACATCTGCCCAGGTTCTTCTTTCTTTGCCTTGACCTCTACCTCCCCCTTGTCCTCTACCCCCCTTCCGCTTCTGAAATTAGAGATGCCCCCCCTTCAGGGATACATCTCCTCTCAACCTCTTTCATCGCTAAAATCAGGGATAGGAGGTTCTTCAGTTACTTGTACAACTTTGTCAGGAACAGTGTTCACATCTGACGCCTTTTCTGTAAGCAGATCAACCTTGGATTCACCATGGCCCTTGGCTTCGTATCTGTTTCAAGCAACCAATATGCTATCTGGGAGATTTTGGAACATAGGAGTGTCTACATCCATCTAATCCGATCATCGAGAAGACGATTGAGACCCATCTAGGATGATAGGTGTCATGATCGACGGAGAAGGATCTTTCATCCTCACCAATCGATCTGCAACTCTATGGATGTCTGAATCCATCATACGAGCCTATTGATCTGTTTGGTTTAGGGTTTTCTCCACTCCCTCAGTATCATCAATCTACCCTAGAATCAAAACATTTCCTTAGATTTTCTCCTCAGTTGCGTCCATTTGTGCCTCACTTAAAACTTCGAATTTGTTACTCACAAACCCTAGGTTATCACTCACGTTTTTCAACTTTGAATCCTCCCTTATCGGATCACTAACCCTTAAACTCGAAAGTCTCTCAGAAAAAGGCAAAGCATTAACTCCAAACATCGTATTCAGTGAGGGATTGAAACCATAGAAACAACCTTTTCTAGAGAGATGCTAGAGTTTCTCACTCCAACCCATTTTTTTTTTCAAAGGCCATTTTCACATGAATGGATGGGCCGAAGGCCGTTTTTACATGAATGAATAAATGAGCCGGATGTTGTTTTGACAAGAATGAATGGATGGGCCAGAGGCCGTTTTGACATGAATGAGTGGGCCAGAGGCCGTTCTGATAAGAATGAATGGATGGACCAGAGGCCGTTTTGACAAGAATGAACGGTTGGGCCAGAACCCGTTTTGACATAAATGAATGGGCCAGAGGCCAGTTTGACATAAATGATTGGGCCAGAGGCCAGTTTGACATAAATGAATGGGCCCGAGGCCAGCCTGACATAAATGAATGGGCCAGAGGCCAGTATAACATGGATGAATGGGCCATAGGCCATTTTGACATGGATGAATGGGCCAGAGGCCGTTTTGACATAAAGGAATGGGCTAGAGGCCAATTTGACACGAATAACAGTTTGACACGAATGATAGTTTGACATGAGTAATAGTTTCGCCTGAAAGTACGAATGGGCCAAAGGCCAGTTTGACATGAATGATACGAATGGATTGGGGCCGAGGCCGTACGATGTGTTTGGAAGCGTAGTTACTTAACTTACATATATCTATGTATGTATGTATTAGTTAGAAATATGAATCGGGCCGAAGGCCGTTTGACGTATATTGTTCCAATGTATATTCCTTATTTGATATTATTCATTGGGCTTTTGCTCATGCTCATTCATGTGTTTGTAGGTGAGCCAAGAGGAGTCCAAACCCAGCCCCAGTGAAGTTCGTATGGAACAACTAAGGTTTTGAAGAGTCAACCCTCGCGTCTCACGCACGAGACACGTCATCGCCCTTTTGTCATTCTATGTTATTTTGTTATGTTGGCGAGGACTTTGGTGTACGTCTGTATATAGCTTTGTTTTGGTTGACATAGATTTGAATGATCCTGTCTGTATAGAACTTTATGTTACTATACCTTCTGTTGTGAGTTATTAACATATGTATGTATGGAATGTTATGATGTGCATATAAGCACGGCTTTATGGACAAAGTTTTAAAATTGCTTCCGTTTGGCCCCTTTACTCTAATGAGTTTTGTCTTATTTGGTTTAAGGCCGTAGGTAATCTTGTGATTACTGGTCGGTTATGGCCTTAACCCATAGGGGCGGCTTCGGGTCATGACAGAAGGGTGGGGAACGACAGAGCGAGTTAGAGAGGAACTTTCTTCTTGAGAGCTGGAAGAGAAAGTTCGAGAAAACAAAAGGAAATAGCTTTAAAATCAAAGCGAATTCAAATTCATGATTTTAGACTTGAGAATTGAACACTTAGGTGACTTACAAAACGTTAAATTAGTTCCTTTAGTTATGCTACATCGTCAAGCTGCAATTACTCAGTGAATTCTATTTCTTGGAGGCTAAGCATGATTAGTTTGAGTTAAGCATGGTCACTTAAGAGAATGAAGCTATAAGTTGCCAAACCTAATTTGTTCCTCGAACAAAACAGAGAAGGGTGGAGAAGGACGGAGAGAGTTAGAGACAAACTTTCTTCTTGCGAGCTAGAAGAGAAAGTTAGAGAAAAGAAAAGGAAATAGGATTAAAATTAAATTGAATTCGAATTCATCATTTTGAACTTGAAAATTTAACACTTAGGTGATTTAGAAAACCTTAAATCAGGTACTTAAGTCAAACTAATATCGTGAAGTTACAATTACTCGGTAAAATCTCTTTCTTGGAGGCTAAGCACGATTAGCTTGAGTTAAACTTGCCCACTTAAGCTGATGAAACTATTAGTTGCCTAGAACGTCAGAGAGAAGTTACAGAAAAATGGAGAGAGTTAGAGAGAAACTTTCTCCTAGACATGTAGAAGATAACGCTAGGGAAAAGAAAGGGATTTGAAAACTATAGTGAATTAAACTTCATCCTTTTGGACTTGAGAGTTTAACACTTGGGTGATCTACAATTACTCAGTGAAGTCTCTTGCTTTGAGGCTAAGCAAGATTTGTTTTAGTTAAACTTGGCCACTTAAACTAATCAAGTTATTAGTTGCCTAACCCAATTAGTTCCTAGAACAAAATGGAGAAGGCGGAGAATGAGAGAGAGAATTAGAGAGAGTCAGCCACGGTTTGCTGTGATGTTTAATAGGTTATTCAGCCAGTTTTGTATAATTGTGTATATATCTTTCCCAAGTATCCATCTACTATTTTTTTGACGGTAGAAGATACTTGGGGATAAAAATTGATATATGGACACTTTTGGATTTATTTATGCTTTCTCTTATTGGGTGCCCAGCGGATATGGGAGTGGTTTTATTATTTATTAGTTTCCCCCATTTTTTTTTTTTGGGGGGGGTATGAGATTTGATGTATTTCCCGGGGTATGCCCGTTGTAAATGTGTAAATTTTGTCTTTAATTTATGACTTACCCACTCGAAAAAAAGAAACTTTCTTCTTGAGAGCTATAAGAGAAAGTTAGAGAAAAAGAAAGGAATAGGATTTAAATTAAAGCGAATCAAAATTCATCCTTTTGGACTTGAGAATTGAACACTTAAATGATCTAGAAAATATTAAATGAGTAACTTAAGTGAAAGTAATATCGTTAAGCTAAATTACTCAGCAAAATCTCTTTCTTGTAGGTTAAGCAAGATTAGTTTGTGTTAAATTTGGCCACTTAAGCTAATAAAACGACTAGTTGCCCAAGCCAATTAGATCCTAGAACAAAAGAGAGAAGTTGGAGATGGACGGAGAGAGTTAGAGGAAAACTTGCTCCTTGAGATCTAGAAGAGAAAGTTACAGAACGGAAAGGGAATTAGACTGAAATTTGAAGGGAGTTCAAAGTCATCATTTTGGACTTGCGAATTGAACACTTAGGTGATTTAGAAAACATTAAATGAGTTGCTTAAGTTAAGCTGTTATCGTTAAGCTACAATTACTTAGTAAATTTTCTTTCTTGGAGGCTAAGAAAGATTAGTTTTAGTTAAACTTGGCCACTTAAGCTAATGAAGCCATTAGTTGCCTAACCTAATTAGTTCCTCTAATAAATGAGAGAAGGGTGGAGGAGGACGGAGAGAGTTAGAGAGAAACTTTCTTTTTTGAGAGCTAGAAGAGAAAGTTAGAGAAAAGATAAGGAAATAGTATTAAAATTAAAGCGAATTGAAACTCAGCATTTTGGACTTGAGAATCGAATACTTAGGTGATTTTGAAAACAATAAATGAGTTGCTTAAGTTAAACGAATATCGTTAAGCTAGAATTACTCAGTAAATTCTCTTTTTTGGAGGCAAAGCAAGATTAGTTTGTGTTAAACTTGGCCGGTTAAGCTAATGCAACTATTGGTTGCCTAAGGTAATTAGTTCCTAGAAGAAGAGGGAGACAACTGGAGAAGGACGGAGAGAGTTGGAGATAAACTTTCTTTTTGGGAGCTAGAAGAGAAAGTTAGAGAAAAGAAAGGGAAATAGGATGAAGATTAAAGTGAGTTCCAATTCATCATTTTGGACATGAGATATATACACTTAGGTGATTTAGAAAACATTAAGTCATTTGCTTAAGTAAAACTAATATCGATAAACTACAATTACTCGGTAAATTCTCTTTCTTCGTGGATAAGCATGATTAATTTGAGTTAAACATGGCCACTTAAGCTAAAGAAACTAACAGTTGGATAAGCTAATTAGTTCATAGAACAAAAGAGAGAAGGATGGAGACGGACGGAGAGAGTTAGAGAGAAACATTATTCTTCATAAGTAGACGAGAAAATTAGAGAGAAGAAAGGAAATAGAATGAAAATTAAAGGGAATTCCAATTGATCCTTTTGGACTTGAGAATCAAACACTTGGGTAGAAAGCCTTAAATGATGCGCTCAAGTCAAACTAATATTATTAAGCTACAATTATTCTGTAAAATATCTTTCTTGGAGGCTAAGCGAGAT